TTCAGGTGGAATTTAGAACTGGAAACTCTAATGAAAACGAAACGTAATAAAAGTTGAAATATCTCGGAGAGAGAAACTTTATTTACTACTAAATGCCTGCTTGTTATGGTAACAAGTTGCCTATTTTAAGACACAGGACCAGGAGTATAAATGATTATTAATGATATTTACCGAATTTTGAATAACGCACTTTACAATTTTTTCTAGAATTTCTTTGCCGAAACCATAATTATACTCTTTGAATCGATTTCCGAGACGTTTTGTCACTATATCATTATTATTATTATCTTTTTGCTCAACGATAACGTCGTGTTTAACAGGTAAAAAACTACACACAGTAACCTTGTACTGAAAAGTTTAAACATGCACAGCGCGTAATGAGCTATCATTGTTCTCTGGCACCACCAAGATCACCCAGTTTGCGCGAACATGACTTCAAAAGATATAAATTAACATAATTACCTACGCTCGCTGATTTCAGGATGTCGACGAAGATGTCTATCAGAGTATGATTACATTTACATCTATTCCCACATGCGGGCGAACTAATTCAATTATGTTCTATAATAGTAAAGATTGAATTGATGTAACGTATATGAAGAATCTCATAACGCCAATATGCCTAAAATTCTAAGGAAATGAATAACCTTCTCATTCTCAAACTTGAATTATTTTCAACAATTCTGAACGTGTTTGTGTTGTCGCACTTTTGCAAACCGTAAGATAATTCAGATTATTCCCCATAACCGAATTTAGATATGCTAAAACCTGTAACAGAATATGATCATAAAAATTATGGACAAGAATCCTGAAGAGAAATCCAAAAATACATTTGGGAGGGGTCAAGTATACGTAGGTACGGTTGAGAGATTTTCCATACAACGTTTCGTTTCGCAGAAATCATCATTAATTTTGCAAACAAATTTTCTGGAAAATGATAAATGTGCCCGCGGGTGCATAACATCCTGATGAAACTAGCAGTTCCTAATTCCTACCACGAGAGGGCGTACCCCTAAATGGGAGTGCAAAAAAATTCACGGATCTGAAATTTGTTTTTGACAATTCGAACCAAAGAATTCCACTACAATTCTTGGCCGGACAACGAAAATGGAGAGAATTCCACAGAATTTCTTGTGTACATACTTGAGTTTGTAGTTTTTTAAAATCACCGAAAAATAACTTTTCAAACAAAAGTTATACGGTTATTATACTCATTTGAAGATTGGTCCTTCGGGTCAGAAAGTGTCTCCCGCCTACTAGAGTCATCCAGTTTCGCGTGTAGTTGGTTGAAAATAACAAACAAGTATAAACTGTGCTACCTGTAAATCACAACTGTTCGACTTTATTGTCTTAAGTACCTGTAGATACATCAAATTTCAACACGATCCACCACTTTAAAGGAATTAACGTGCATCCGGATGGATAACAATACCAAACTATATAAAACATCTGAGGATGGTGAATAATAGCTACAAGGTGTAACATAAAGTGAATCCAGTTCAGGGGCGATGCAATGTAAGAGAAATAGGAAATTTCAGCTCAGTCACACTTCCAGTAATAACCTGTTCTTACGAAAATCACGTTCGCACGCGTTTATTTCATAACATCATATATCTTAAATACGAGCTTAAATACCTATCGAACACGTATAAACCCACCCATTTATTATTGCTTATTATTCAAAACAATTGACTACAATTTTGCATTTTTTTCAATCTGTAACTATCCGAGTGCGGTTATTACTTTCGAGAGTGATTTTATGCCAAACTCGCCTCGGATTGGTAACACCAAACGAGAGACCAAACGATTTTTTAGTTGCCACATCTGTACACAATTGCTTCATGTATTTTTGTGGTCCCAACACTTGCGGCAAGGGCACATGTTTTATTACAACTTTTTTAAAGAACGATACGATTATTATTGAGTGATTGTTCCACTCCAATAATCTACAGGTTTTTCACTGATCTCTAATTAGTTAATTATGAAGAAAGTTAAGCAAACATGATTTGCATCCAATGTGAATTGTGTGAAGTTCCGAATTTGGATGAATGACTCACAATCCGTAAACAATGTTGTTATTATTATTATTAGTTAAAAACAAGCACAATACGGAATACATTTACCTTTTTGATTGGTGGTCGACTCAGTCGAGTACATAGGTTTGCAATGTATTTGGATTTTGGTTACATATTCACATTTGTTGGTAATTAACAAATTACGGGATTAATAGTCGCTATTTATTTCAAGCAAAACCGGGTACTTAAAATTTGTTGTGTTATAAATTTAAACATTGCACAGAGCCTTAAAAACGTAAAGGTACCTAGTGAATGTAAAGAAACTAACCTACCTCGATTATCTCTAAAAATGAGTAATGTTCAGCAAGTAATCACAAGTAAACTTTAACCGTACGAATTCGAGTATTCTCCGTAATTCACTAATAATTTTAAAAAGAAGATTCAATACACTTCCCTACAACAAGCCATTTGTCAAACTAAACCTGCTGAACGAAGGCATAGATAGACAGTGCTGCCACAAGAAAATCGAATGTTACCACTATATACTGGATGAAATCACATTATAGTACACTGATAGGCAACCAATCAAACTGTACTATAATGATGGTTTCCAGAGGGAATACTCTCAGCGTTATACAGGGTGGTGCCTAGCGCAACGCAGCATAGGGATTTCAATGGTAATTTCTTTATAGTGAATTACTAGCTCCCCTAATTATTTTAGAGCAAAAGTCTAAATACGTTTTTTTTAGAGAAAAAATACTGCATCTGTTCATACTTTTAGTTATAATTTTCCATTTTTCAAAACCGTAGAAATCGACAAAATAAAAAATTACATTTTTATAAATCAGTGATGCTTTGGAATCTTTTAACAAACGCATCGCATCTAAGTTATCGTTGTTTAACGTCGAACGATTTTCATATTTAATTCTGTTTAAACTAACCGACGCAATAAAAGGCATCTTAGGGTAATGTTTTTTTAGAGAATGTATGCTGCATCTGCATCAGATACTATTTGTTTATCAGAGAGAATCAGAGTACCTACATAATCGAAGCAAAAAAACTGATTTGAAGCAGATTTGTTCCTAAACTTATATTCGGATTTTCGGCTACTGCAGCCAAAACGTTGAATGTATTGTCGTTTTCCTGATGGTTTTGACGGACATTTTGAACGTTATTGCACTTGCAGTTCTTTAACTAATTTATAAACAAATATAAATTTACTATACGTCAAAGGCAAATAATGAAACGTGATCGCTGTTTTTTTTAGGTAATTCCAAGGCATATTTGATTTATTGTAAAATGAACCTTTTTATTTTGCGATTTCTACGGTTTTGAAAAACGGAAAATTATGAGTAATAGCATGAACAGATTCAGTATTTTTTTCTCTAAAAAAAACTTATTTAGACTTTTGCTCTAAAATAATTAGGGGAGCTAGTAATTGACTATAAAGAAATTACCATTGAAATCCCTATGCTGCGTCGCGCTAGGCACCACCCTGTATACAAATCACATACTGATTTGTGTTATATGCTTTCAGCAAAGATCATATTACACTGATCTTTGCTTTCAGTGTATGTATGTTACGTACGCACAAATATCGAAAAGGCGCAATGGACGAAAATATCGCACTTTCGCACATAACGCTTTATGGCCGAAACTAAATGACAAACACCAAAATTAAATACTTTTATCTGTTATGGTCGTTAACTTATGACCACAACGTTTTGTTCCTTTGGTAGGTATAAACACCAAAAAAGATGAGGGGACATCCTGTATATACTATATGAACAAATGAACTTTGTGAGAAAGCGGCACCCTTTGATTACGCGTGTACCTTCGTTCGACTGATGTACAGAGTTGAATGAAAACCAAGTAGATGTTCACACGTAAACGTATTTTTCAAGCGGTTTGGAAGTGCGTTGTTGTCAAACTTCTTAAATACTGCTTTGTGTCTTCAAAATGGATCTTATTGTTGATATTGAATTCTTGATAAATGCAATTCAAGAATGACCTGGTTTCTGGCATATCAAAAATTATGATTATACAAAATTAATTCTTCCTTTGAGTCACATGAATCCATTTTTGATGAATGAATGAGCCATTAATATAGTTTACCGCTACGTGTGTGTGATTTTTTATAGTGGAAGTAGTGTTTTGTTAAATACTGGAATCAACAAAAGAAAGTGGCTGGTTTCCGACGGTCGAAAAGCGTGTACGTTTCTTTACGCAATTTTTATTCATCAAGTGAATATTGTTTGTCATCAAGTATTGTGAAAGTGAAGTTTAGAACCTGTCAGAGTTTGTATGCACCTTGTAATCGCTAATCTTTGTACGACCAGATTAGTAAGATTATTAAAGAGAAAAATCTGTGAGTAATTTAAGATTATCGCCGCCTGAGTGTGGGGCAATACGTCCAAACCAGCTTTGTAAGCGTTTAGTTCTTTCAGGAATTTTGTTTTAATTTTTCATTTCACTGTTTTGGAATAAATTTTTGCCATTGTCAATCAATGAATTTTGTGTTTATTCAAATCCTTTGTGTGGTCAGGATAGTATTTTCAAGTCAGATCTTCCTTCTCGTGTTCAAGGATTGTGTTAGGTGTTTATAGTTTATAGCAGTTGCCGGAAGCTTACGAGGAGAGAAAATAAAAATGTTTCTTTTTTTATTGGCTTGATCTAGCTGGGGTTTTGTGAGCGGTGTAGTAGATCGCATTCCATATTTAAAATGAATATAAAGTTACCAACAAGCAACTAATATTTTTAAATAACTAAAACAAGTAATTTTTAATTAAAACAGTAATTGTACAAATTATTTGTTCTTATACATTCAGGAGCTGTATAGTACTTCAAACTAATAACTGAATTACTAGCGATACATCGCATTAAAGGAAATTCGTTTCTTTAATGGCGATCGATTTCGGCTTGTAAGCCCGTAATCCAGACATCCAAGAGATAATGATCATATATTATACTTTTAGAAAAAAACAGTTGTATAAAAAATGCTTTATTAAGGATTCTGTTTATTTTCATTATCACAATACTTACCATACTAAATTTATTTATTAAAAGTTATTTCTTTGGTTTGGGGTCATGAATATGTTTTTGTGACATAGTACTATTTGGTGGTGTTTCTTCAATAGTATCAAAAAATTCGTCCTGACTGGTTGTCCCATTAGACGAACCAGCAGAACTGGATACTGACAACTCAGGTTTTACTTCAATTTTGTTTTGTAGAGTCACAGGTAATGGCAGATTTATAACTCGTAGAGACGGTGTTGATGATGGTGCATCCGTTCCATCTTCAGGTAAGCTACCGACGTCAACTTCAGACACAGAAGGGTCCGCCTCTGCTTCATCGTGACTTTCTCCATCAGTGGAGGTTGTAGGAGAATTATCTGAACTTAAAGTTCTGTCGCTCGAGGTATCCTCCTCATAATCGTCTTCTTCGATAAATGAAGGATGCACACCTATGAATTTAAGATAGTGTTTGTCACTTAACAGTTTAAGGAGACAAACCTAAGCCGTCTCCTTGGCAATAGAAGTGAGGTTCGTCATGCACCTCGATTCCATCAGTTACTTCTCCTCCTAACAAATTTAATAGCCAATTAGGAAAGGGTTCAACATATAGTTCAGGTATAACTGAAATGAGCAATGAATTGTGTGAGAATAAATTTCTGTTTAACATGTGACAGAGATTTGAATATTTTCTTATAAAAGTAGAAGTGGGCTTGTAAAATCGTTGATCATCCTACTTACTTGGGTCCATTTCCCCATTATCATATACACGATCAACTTCAACAAAAATAATTTCAGGACGGGGTTGATCAACACTTTGATCTCCGTCAGCGGCAACATCATAATCTTCCAGTAAGTCTTCCTGCGAATTAGGATCAAACAATGCTTCTCTACTAAAATGTTGTACCTCAAAATCAATTTGATCTTCTACTTGATCTGGATCTGCAACTGCTGCATCTTCTTCCATTTGGTTTCTGTTTTCAATATCATCATTTCTTTCGTTATCCTGTAACACTAAATTGTCGTTCTGCTAAACAATTATCAAATGTTCTACCCAACGAAAAACAAAAACATTTATATCCTTATCAGATAAAACCAATAGTGATGCTCACCTGCATTTTCGTTATCATTTTCATTACGCTCTTCATTTTCTGCAGCGTTTGGATAATTGTTTCCTTCCAGATCCCTGTTGTTATTAGCTAAATCTCCATTTTCAACCTCTTCAAAAACATCGTACGCTTCTTCGTGATCTTGTTCTCGTGGTTCAATATTCAGAGGACAACCAACATTCACTTCATCAACGGGATCGCGTTCTTGTACATGTTTCTTTCGTACTTGTTTAGGTGACATTTTACCATCAATTTTACTCAAAATCTTGGTGCTCTCCTTTGACACCGTGGTTTGAAAATCATCCTCTTCCCGGTCATCAGATAACTTACCAGTTGCCTGATGATCATGAAGGATATCAAACGCACCTTCTAAACATGAATGCGCGGAGGATGTGAGATTAAAAGATGATACCCCATAGCCAGAATCGCACATGTAATTATTCGACTCTGAACTCACACTTGGATTTTCCTCAGCGCCATTACCCACAACCGCAGTCTCAATATGATCTGTTTCTAAATTCTCAATTATATCATAAATTAATTCTTGGGCGTTAGTAGAAGGATCAAATGTTAGCTGTTCAATTTTTTGCGACCCGGCATCGGCTCCCCAATCTGACTCTGGATCCGATACAGATGCGTGCCATTCATAATGATCTTGGTTTGAATCGAAATCATCACTTAAGGTATTTGAAGACGTACTAGTGCCATTTTCCATCTCAGGTTCGTGTATTACACAAATTTGTAATTGATCACAGATTAAACATTCTTCTAATTTAAAGCCCTCTTCGGTAAGTATTGAACTGAAAGAGTGAGTTGTCAAATTTTTATATAGTTATGTGTACACACAAATTTTGATATATGGAGTGACAAGACATAGTGACTCAAATGTCATATCTGAAATTTGCCAAAGTGCATTTGATAATTTATTGAATATAAGACACAGGCTGGCACCAGCTGAGCTATAACAGTGGCAAGCAGTCTATTTCACGCTTTCAAAATTCAAATCGTACTGAACAGTTACAGCCTCTTTGCAATGGAACCAACTAAACTGCAAGAAACTTTTTTTATAATATCTAAATATGTTCTGCTGTATATCTAGTAATCTGAAACACAACCACGAGTCTGTTTTGAGGAAAAACATATGCTTATCAATCATGAAATTACTTTCTTCTTAGTACATACAAAAGTTTCTCCTACTACTAGNATTCGTTTCTTTAATGGCGATCGATTTCGGCTTGTAAGCCCGTAATCCAGACATCCAAGAGATAATGATCATATATTATACTTTTAGAAAAAAACAGTTGTATAAAAAATGCTTTATTAAGGATTCTGTTTATTTTCATTATCACAATACTTACCATACTAAATTTATTTATTAAAAGTTATTTCTTTGGTTTGGGGTCATGAATATGTTTTTGTGACATAGTACTATTTGGTGGTGTTTCTTCAATAGTATCAAAAAATTCGTCCTGACTGGTTGTCCCATTAGACGAACCAGCAGAACTGGATACTGACAACTCAGGTTTTACTTCAATTTTGTTTTGTAGAGTCACAGGTAATGGCAGATTTATAACTCGTAGAGACGGTGTTGATGATGGTGCATCCGTTCCATCTTCAGGTAAGCTACCGACGTCAACTTCAGACACAGAAGGGTCCGCCTCTGCTTCATCGTGACTTTCTCCATCAGTGGAGGTTGTAGGAGAATTATCTGAACTTAAAGTTCTGTCGCTCGAGGTATCCTCCTCATAATCGTCTTCTTCGATAAATGAAGGATGCACACCTATGAATTTAAGATAGTGTTTGTCACTTAACAGTTTAAGGAGACAAACCTAAGCCGTCTCCTTGGCAATAGAAGTGAGGTTCGTCATGCACCTCGATTCCATCAGTTACTTCTCCTCCTAACAAATTTAATAGCCAATTAGGAAAGGGTTCAACATATAGTTCAGGTATAACTGAAATGAGCAATGAATTGTGTGAGAATAAATTTCTGTTTAACATGTGACAGAGATTTGAATATTTTCTTATAAAAGTAGAAGTGGGCTTGTAAAATCGTTGATCATCCTACTTACTTGGGTCCATTTCCCCATTATCATATACACGATCAACTTCAACAAAAATAATTTCAGGACGGGGTTGATCAACACTTTGATCTCCGTCAGCGGCAACATCATAATCTTCCAGTAAGTCTTCCTGCGAATTAGGATCAAACAATGCTTCTCTACTAAAATGTTGTACCTCAAAATCAATTTGATCTTCTACTTGTTGATCTGGATCTGCAACTGCTGCATCTTCTTCCATTTGGTTTCTGTTTTCAATATCATCATTTCTTTCGTTATCCTGTAACACTAAATTGTCGTTCTGCTAAACAATTATCAAATGTTCTACCCAACGAAAAACAAAAACATTTATATCCTTATCAGATAAAACCAATAGTGATGCTCACCTGCATTTTCGTTATCATTTTCATTACGCTCTTCATTTTCTGCAGCGTTTGGATAATTGTTTCCTTCCAGATCCCTGTTGTTATTAGCTAAATCTCCATTTTCAACCTCTTCAAAAACATCGTACGCTTCTTCGTGATCTTGTTCTCGTGGTTCAATATTCAGAGGACAACCAACATTCACTTCATCAACGGGATCGCGTTCTTGTACATGTTTCTTTCGTACTTGTTTAGGTGACATTTTACCATCAATTTTACTCAAAATCTTGGTGCTCTCCTTTGACACCGTGGTTTGAAAATCATCCTCTTCCCGGTCATCAGATAACTTACCAGTTGCCTGATGATCATGAAGGATATCAAACGCACCTTCTAAACATGAATGCGCGGAGGATGTGAGATTAAAAGATGATACCCCATAGCCAGAATCGCACATGTAATTATTCGACTCTGAACTCACACTTGGATTTTCCTCAGCGCCATTACCCACAACCGCAGTCTCAATATGATCTGTTTCTAAATTCTCAATTATATCATAAATTAATTCTTGGGCGTTAGTAGAAGGATCAAATGTTAGCTGTTCAATTTTTTGCGACCCGGCATCGGCTCCCCAATCTGACTCTGGATCCGATACAGATGCGTGCCATTCATAATGATCTTGGTTTGAATCGAAATCATCACTTAAGGTATTTGAAGACGTACTAGTGCCATTTTCCATCTCAGGTTCGTGTATTACACAAATTTGTAATTGATCACAGATTAAACATTCTTCTAATTTAAAGCCCTCTTCGGTAAGTATTGAACTGAAAGAGTGAGTTGTCAAATTTTTATATAGTTATGTGTACACACAAATTTTGATATATGGAGTGACAAGACATAGTGACTCAAATGTCATATCTGAAATTTGCCAAAGTGCATTTGATAATTTATTGAATATAAGACACAGGCTGGCACCAGCTGAGCTATAACAGTGGCAAGCAGTCTATTTCACGCTTTCAAAATTCAAATCGTACTGAACAGTTACAGCCTCTTTGCAATGGAACCAACTAAACTGCAAGAAACTTTTTTTATAATATCTAAATATGTTCTGCTGTATATCTAGTAATCTGAAACACAACCACGAGTCTGTTTTGAGGAAAAACATATGCTTATCAATCATGAAATTACTTTCTTCTTAGTACATACAAAAGTTTCTCCTACTACTAGGTAGAACATTCTGCAACACAACTACTAAATAGCTACTTAGAATACCTACAAAAGTGATTTCATCAAGGAAACACAGATTTAGTTTTGTTACAAACAACATTTAGCACTCACCAAGCTTCTGGTATTGACGTGAAGTGCGTATATAGATTATAAATTAATTCAACGACGGGAATTTCATTTCTATTATGATCTTCATTATAAAATCGCCCACCTCGTCGACTCGCTAAACCTATTTTATACTTTAATTCATCACTAATCTTTTCCTTGGCCGTTCTTTCATCAATATGAAATGGGTACTCAATAAGTTCAATCAACCTATAGTAGCTATCTTCGTCATATTCTATTGATATATTACTTGTATAACTATGATATGTACAAATTCCAAAAGATGATGTACTATTCATTACACAGTCTTCTTCATTTTCATTCTTTATAAATATTGCCATTTGGCTACAACACCCCAAATGGTCAGTGCCTGCAGGTCCTTCTCCTATTCCTTTAAATGAAACCGAATAATTTGGAAAACGTGTGACAATATTGTTACCCCTAAAAATTGAACAAATAGAAAAAATTACATGAGCAGACAATTTGCACCTACCACATTTCAAATTGCTCTCTCGTCCATTCAAATTTGTGGTCCCAATGACGCATTCCTTTGAAGTTAGGGAAGAGGACATTAAAATCGGCATTGGGTGTTGTAAATACTGCTAATTTTGGTTTGATAAAACCAAACACGTTGTATGGCAATGCTTCTAATGTGTCAGGGTATAGATGTTCAATTCTGTAAATGTGTAACAATATATCAAACACAATATGCTTAATAATGAATATATGCAAATATTTCATCAATTTCGATATGAGGTCTCTTTTATGTACAGTTTGTATTATACATACATATATATATACCTACCTAAGATTAGGCATTATGTATACCTACTATTACAGAATCCGACGGTGTAATTTTTATTTCCAAGTTTATGTGAAGTCTGGTGTAAACATTATTATAGCGTGAATTTGTTTTCAAGAATTCCATGATAATTGCTCAATCCTTGACTGCACATTGTACCGAGTGTCCCATTTTCAACACTTTTATGGGGCATCTCCGTTGTATCAAAAAAGGTAATATATAGGCGTCATGTGCGCTTTTTGGTTCAAACTTGGAAATATTCCCTCAAATGATCTCTACAAAGACTCCTACTTAATGCGTATGAGAGAAGCTGCCCCACAAATTCTAAAGTCTTAATGAGGAACGTTCCCTGGTGTAATCAGGGACTAGAAAAATATTGGGCGAAAGTCAGAAGGATATTCAACACAGCCAAACGACAGAAGAGCGAAGAAACAGGGGAAGAGTATAAAAGTGCCCTAGTTAGGTACAATTCCGCGACAAGATGTGCCAAATGAAGGACTTGGCGCAAATTCTGTGAAGGAATCGATTAAATACCAACAGTATCTCGTCTAAAAAGAAGTCCTACAAAAAGACCACTACAATATGGCATTTGAAATCTTAACAAATCCGATGGGAAATACACAATGGGCGCCAGGGAAACATTAGAGCTCCTCATGAGCATTCACTTTCTAGACTTCCCTTCAATAGACAGAGGCAGAAGACCAGGTAAGGCCTCACTCCAGAGTTAAAAGCGACGCCTCAAAAATCTTCACAGAGGGGAGGGTAGAATGGGCTCTAATGGCATGTGGTTGATGACCTAGTAACTAATGTGACTATGTGCAAGGGTATGCAGACGACCAGTCCATAGTAAGATCTGGTAAACACGATACAGTAGTATCTGAGCAATTGCAAAGGGCTTTGAACATCACGCAGTGGTAGTGTACAGATAACAGCCTAAGCAAGGCCCCCATTATGGGAGGGCACCACCATTGTTCTTAGTAAAGGGGTCAAATATTTGGGAGTGAACTTTGACCAGAGCATGGAACTCCCATATGGACAAGCAGATAAAAAAGGAGACCCTGGGATCCCAAGCCTGTCGAAAGCTATCGGCCAGAAATTGGGGCTTAACGCTAAATTGACCAAATGGTCCTACGAAATATCATCAGACCTATGGCCACATAAATGCCACAGTCTTATGGTGGCCAAACTTTGAACAAACTAGTCAGGGAGTGCATTGGCAACTGGCAATCACAATTACACTATGGTGGGTGCCTGGGCATTTGGACATTGCAGGCAACATGTTGGAAATACCTAGTACAAAAACGCATCATCAAAATTATTCATAAAAAAGGCCGCCAGGCACGACTCGGACGAACTATACAGAAATTCAGAGATGCTATACCTCGTGCTATACTAATGTCTAATTTATGTAAAGATATTGCTCGAAGTAAGTACCTATATAAAAAAATGTCGAAAAAAATGAGACAAAAGTTGTAGAGAATTTTTTTCCCTATAATTTTTATAATAAATGCAAATGGCATTAAAACCATAGGAAACGGGATATTTCAAAAAACCGATTTTTGGAACCTTTGACCTCGAGTTTGACCTTCAATATCTGAAGACGTGGACACAAGATTTTATGAGACTTTTGAGACAACTTTCAAAATGGCAAAACAAGGGTTCGTACTAGTTTAGAGCTTATTATCTCTCATTCCAAGGTAAAACACTAATATGACTGGACTACTATGTGAATTCAATTTGGCTCAATCTGTAAAACTATGCATTACTTACATATAAAATCGATCATCATTTTCTGATCTCAAATTATCACACTACACCCTTTTAAAAAAAATTGAATTTGGCTTTATAGACACTGTCCAATATAAGGATGGGATTCTTCGAAAACACAGACGATACGGCGATGATGATATTAGAGAAAACATGTGCAATTAAAGAGTTATTGTCATGCTTCAGCGAAAACCAGAAAATTACAATTATTTTCAAAGATAAGTATGCCCGAGGAATGCCAGAAATACCAAGTATTTGGTGATGAAAGTACCTATTGACCACAATTCACAAATGGATCAAAACAGTCTAGATATGTACTTACTACAGATACTTACATTTCAATACCAATCACTGCATCAACATCAGTTAATCTTGGGTCTGGGTCACTGATGCTACCTTGCAATATATGTACATTAAGTGGCTCAGTTCTTTTACAAATATAATCAGTCGTTACAGGTCGCACTCTAAACAAATTGTCTCTTAGTAGATATTCATCAACATCAACAGCCAGAATATCATTTATTCTAAAAAGTCGATTTATAAATTGAAATAATTTTAATTCCGCACATCCGAAATCTACAATTTTTCTTATATCTTCTATCCACTTGTTGTTTAATAGAATAAGTTGTATTTCCCCATATCTTTGTTTATAAACGGGAGGATCAAAAACAAGGTTCTCCTCAATATCTCGGGTCTCGAATCCTGGGCCCTCGGTAGTGGACACATCTATGGGCATTTTTCTAAGAAATTTTATATAATGCCTCGTGAAAACATATAAGTAATGGAAAACTATTATCATTGTTATTAAATAAACTAACAAAATTAATACATTTTAATCTAACCACAAAACCCATTTAAAAATTTCTCTTGGTTTTATGCTGATACAACGTTGCCGTGTGTCTAATCGTTATACAGGTTGCGTTCAACCATAAAACTATCAATTGTTAACAAGAGTGAGAGAGAAATAGAGACTATCATATTGGACCGATTTGCTAGCGATTTGAGATAAAGGTATTGAAATACGATTCACATTATGTAAATGGTACATACTATCATTGTAATAATACATATACAATGATACTATACTAACATGTAACCATATTACGTACCTCTATGCATAGTTCAGTTACAAATTTACGCTCTAAATGTATGATCTTTGTCTAATGTTAGCCGTTGTCAGCAAAGTAAAAAGCGAGATATGAGCCAAAAGAGTCTGAATGTTATAGGCAGTTCCAAAAAATAAGTTTCAACTTTCAAAACTACCTACGAAACGTTGTGCTTGTGTTCAGTATTTACTCTAATAAACGACGAAGTATAAGCATCTCTGGGTAGTAGCAAGCACTTAAAGACTTAAACAACTTTGCAAGAAAAAGTATGAAATATTCCTGTGAAAGGTGATTGCTTTAGCTAGACAATAACGCCGGGGTTTATTAAAATGTTTTAATAGTATATTGAAAGACAAGTGTTACAATGCGACCTATTGTAATACGACTATCTTGTGGCACGAGTGGCGACGCGAAGTGTAGCCACGAGTGTCCGCAAGATAGGAGTATTACAATAAAGCATTGTAACACGCGTTTTTCATACTATTTTTTCTATTTCGGTGCTTTAATTTAATTAAAAAAATCATTATCAGAAACTATAGGGAACATTAGAACTAACATGTTTTATGTTGGGAACACTTTTTATGCCGTTAAGTTTTAGGTTGGCAGCGTAGTAAGACTGACATTTTGAAGTTCAAACATGGAAGTACCCAACGAAGTACCTACTTGTACTAACTAGTAACTGCAAACTTAAGAGATGAGTTACCAAAAAAAACGACTATAATCACTGTCTTTGTACAACTGTTTTCGGCGGAAAACAGTTGTACAAAATCATCATTGTGACACCGAAATAGAAAAAATAATTTTTTTTAAGGGTAGGTAACGTCGAGCTCTGTTAGGGTGTCATATTTTGGAAAAGAAAAAAGGAAATAAATTTTCCTGGCGTTATTGCCTACATATTAAGTTTACGAACTTATCTCAATTTTGGAAATTGTTCCAACTTCATTTATACATAAGTTATCTTAGAAAAACAACTTAAAAGTTTTCCTCAAAAGCGCGAAAAGATAGCTTCCGCCGCGCCGCTTGGTTTATACAGATAGAAAATGTGCATTATAATTGGACTGAGTTTATGTTTCTACCATCGATATTATAAAAAACCAAATTTGGCGATTGACAATAGGCAACTTTACATACTCCGTTCTGTATGTACTGTCCAGCCAGTACCTGTAGCATTGAATTTATTATAAATTCAATGCCTGTAGTACCAAAGACTATCCTGGAGAAGGATAGGATAATTTAAATACAAGTAAAAGTACTTGCACTATTATGTTCTTCTTCAGCTATAAATATTGATTAACCTAACATTTGAGCAAAAATATCCTTGGATTTGACAATCCAAATACGTTTGGATAACAGAAAAAAGCGCCATTTGTTACTTATTTGCTCGACTCGGTTAATTGAATGCGGCCAATTTAAATATGGCAACAGCGTAATCAGTTCAAAAGTAAGGTTAGTAGAGGTTATGAAAATGTGTTTTCATTAAACAATTTTAATAATAAATTAGTAAATCCCTTTAGAAATGGAAGAGCAAGAAACAAATTCACCCATAGTTTTAACAACAGATGAAATAAACTGCTTAGAATTGCAAAACAAACGATTAGTAACAGACTATAAAGCACAAATGTTGGAGGTTAACGCACGTAAATATTGGGATTTGTTTTATAAACGCAATGAAACACGTTTTTTTAAGGACCGACACTGGACCACACGAGAGTTTACCGATCTCCTAAATCTTGATTGTAATTTAAACTCTCGGCGAAAAGTGGTTCTAGAAATCGGCTGTGGTGTGGGAAATTTCATTTTTCCTTTACTAGAAGAGAAGATTAATTTGTTTTTATTTGCGTGCGATTTTTCTCCTAGAGCAATAGAGTTTGTTAAGTCTAATCCATTGTATAATGAAGACAATGTCAGAGCGTTTGTGGCTGATGTTACCACAGATGACATCTTTACAACTCTCGAACAATCCACTGTAGATATAGTGACATTAGTATTTGTGCTCTCTGCCATTCACCCTGAGAAATTTTTAAAAGTGTTACAAAATATTTTTTTGCTACTAAAGCCTGGGGGTATAATTCTGTTTCGTGACTATGGTTTATATGATATGGCCCAGTTACGGTTTAAAGCAGGGAACAAAATAAGTGAAAACTTTTACATGCGGCAGGATGGGACCAGGTGGGTATGAAAATTACAAATTAATTTTCTTAGTTTTTTTTGATTTTTTCAGGAGTTACTACTTCTCTTTAGAGTTTACAAGTGAATTACTTTCAAAGGCAGGATTTGAAGTAGTCAATATTTCCTATATTCACCGCCGAACTATAAACAAGAAGGACAACATTGATGTTCCCAGAATATTTCTCCAAGCAAAGTTCAAAAAACCTTAGAATTTCTAATTTATTAATTTAGTTTATGATTTTCTGCCTGGTTATTTATAATCCTGTTAAAATAAGGACTGAGATATCTCACCTGTATATGTATTGCCATAGGTATAAGAGCTGTCAAATTGATTATTGTAGTTTTGATTTTGTGCTGTGATTGAGCACTGTTTAAATTTTAGTGTGTATAACAAAAGGATGTTGTGATTTAATTGGTTAACAAATTTGTAGGATGTGTTGAATGGTAAGTGCTCGTTATATTATTCTGTATTTGTGAAATGCAAATGCATCAACATTTATTGGAAGGAGTTATAGTTACAGGCTGGACTGACGCATATGATGACTTTGTTTAATGTAATCAATAAAAGATTACGCAATTATTGGATTCAAATCTGTTACATGCAATTACAGAGGTTTCGTGAAAGTTGTCTATATACACTTGATTGTACCTAATAAATATAAGTAAATAAAACAAGTGAAAAGTTATATAGGTGCGCAACTAATTTTTATATCCTACACCTACTGTTTTACTTATTTATAAATTTTATGGTTGTATTGTAAAAATTACCACAATTGTGTGTAATCTTTGAATATATTCAAAGGTGTAATCGAGTAATTTGTTATTCAATAGTGTAATTTGTAATAGATACATATTGCATGGAATAGAATTTTACAATACTACCGCTCACAAGTGTTACATACCACAAATTTAATGATACCACTTAGTACGAATATGTCATTTTTTGATGCATACAATTTATTGGGCATTTCAATATTGCAATGGTTAGACCACCAACAATACAACATTTTATTGTACTGTAACCATGGTTACTGTAACCAAAGAATACATTATAGTTACTCTTATCTTAATAGATTGTCCTGTATAGTAATCTATATCTTAAGCTGATTTTATAGTTCCGTACCGGCAACACCGTACCGTAACGTTTGGAATTAAACCCTACTTGTTGGGCGTGAACATTTATAATTCGCGTTAACGTTGCGTTAGAACGGTTACGGTACGTAGGAAATGCCCAAATCTTATGAATGAAGGTACCATTCACATGCGGATATGTACGGCGGATCTGTACGGCGGACATGTACGCGGGACAGATCCGTATCAATTCGTATGTGTGTATCCGCGTGTTCGGCGTACATATCTTGCTCGCCATCCGTCGATCAGAACGACGAGCACGGACAGCGAGCCGGACAAATACGCACGTGTGTAGTCGTTTCACGGATTTGTTTGCCGGACATAGAATCATCAAAATACGAAATTCTTGAAAATATGTTAGGAAATTTGAGAAATCAAAATGGAAATGCGACTCCACCTACTCCAATTAAACAGTCATTTAACAAAATATTTTGTTTAAATTACTTTGAATATAATGTAGGCGCAAATTGTGCTAAAGATTTGAATGATCTTTTGGGTAATTTTACAAGCAAAATTGCGGAACAACACCGAACTGTTGGTGAAACTGTTAGGCAAATACAATCCGATCAGTTACCTTTTGGGGATATCTTAAAAGTAAAATTAGGAGACTATGGTGGTATTAACATTCCAGAAGAAAATGCGCATTTTTGGGGAACAATTTAAATACTGGTAAAGATTGTAGTGCCTTACTCCACCAACCAAGCACACCTAACTACCAATCAAATTATTTTATGCCATTTCCCAGCATATTCTGCCAAGACTGGTGGCTTATTTGAAAGTTTCAGCATTGAATAAGCACCTGTATTCGATGGTTTCAGGTATAATTTTCCCGAGAAGCTGAGGGGAGATTGCACAACTGAATTTTAGGTCTTCAAAATTCCTTCAAGTTGCTAAGTACTGTAGCGTGGCAATTAATCGCTCTCTACTGGTAACTGCCTCATATGGGTAGGTATCATTCCTCTCAATAACTGGGCGAACATATTTTAATAAAGTTTCAAATCTCTCATTGTCCATGCGCAAAAAAATGTGCAAATCATGAGGCGTTTCCAAATCTTTAAGTAAAGTCATATGAGAGACCATAGTCTCTTTTTTTCGTATCTTTAAATAAAACATCCTCCTCCAATTATTGTCAGTTTCTCCTTATGATCCATACCAATTACCACAGCACTCAAAAGAACACAACCCAGAGCTAGTACTACACAACTGAAATAGCGACAGAACGCCGCCTGCTTGTCTATTGAGATTTGTCCGTGATCTGTGTACAGTCATATCCGCCTGTGTGTAGCTCAACACGGATCTGCCGGCCGTACAGATCCGCCGTACATATCCGCATGTGAATGGGGCCCTTTACTCTTACTGACAGATGACATACAATGACAGAATTCGCTACGCGCTAATGCGCAAGCTCATCACTTGCCACTACGGAACTATAAATCGTATTATTTTCGTTAACGTAAGATTTGACGGCTCCGTTCTTACGTTTTTACGGCTACGGAACTATAAATCCGGCTAACTAACGTATTCTGCCTTTTAACATTCGAGCGTTTCATATAAAACCATTGAATTTATAACTATCAAATTCAATGATAAAACCTTTCAGACAAACTTCGAAACTAGGCTACGTATGAGCGTTTTCAACACTAAAAAATTAACAAAAGATATCCTTTGCGATAAGGTAGTCAGTTGGCTCCTCTGTAGCAGAGACCAAATACATCTATGTCTGTAGTCAATCCGCCATATTGGAAAAATAGCTAAACTTTCTTATGAAATGCTGCTTTTGTAGTTGAAGTCTAACAAATTCTCGATAGTGGATATTCTTTGCAATGATGAAAAGAACGGCGGTACTTAAAAAAATTGAAATATCGGTCTTCGTTTTTTAGGAAGATCGATGAATAGAAAAATCGTTTTTTGTAGATAACAGCCGTTGTAATGAGGGTAGAAAAACGTACAACACCAATTTGGAAATCCGACAGTATTTTATACGGCGGTACTTAAAGATATTATTTACATCTATTATGATAAGGCATATATTTTAAAAAATATGTTTCGCGATCTTCAGAAAAGAATCAAAACGCTAACGTAAGGATAGGCAACTCAAATTGCACTTATAACGCCTGAAGCGACAACTCATTATTTGAAAGGGAAAACAAAAGAAACTACCTGGCGTTAGGTACCCTACACATTGTTACGCCTAAAGTCACTAAATATATATAAATATATAATAAATATATCTAGTGACTTTAGTTACGCCGTTCCTAATATGGATTAGACAAATTACTATTTATTATTTATTTATTTGAATGCTGTTGATTTGTAAATCATAATGTCACATATGACATATTCCCAAGACGAAAAATGGATATCCTATTATAGGTACATTGGAAATAATTTTTTATTTCTAAAACCTTTTGCATCCCATCAGGATGCTTCAAGAAATAAAAAAAACCCTATAATGGCTGTAATAATATTTCCCTTTGACGGGGCGGGGGGTACGTACAATACTTGGTAGGTACTTCACATATTATATCATAAGTAGTGCTGAATATGAACTCTATTTTATAACAATGCTTTCAAACTACCAGAAGCGTAGCACTTTATTTAGTTAGATAAAATCAAATATGACTAAATTAGACGTTTGTGTATATTTCCCATCTAAAATTATCCTCAGATAATCCAGTATGGGGAGCAGTCAGAAAGGCCGATTTCTGCAAAATGTGGTGTAAACGATTTTAACGTTTTAAATGGTCCATTTGGGTCCAAATAACATGTATTTGAAGAATGCACACCAATTTTTTCCCGGCACAACTTTTGGCAGCCAAAAAACCTCACAACGTTCGAACTTTTTTCAATTTTTCGCTTAAAACTCGAAAACGGTCCATATTTTACGAATAAAACTTCTTTAGTAAATTAAAGAAAACAAAATTCTGCGTCGATAAAAAAAAACAAACAAAATCGGTCCAATAGAAAAATTTTTACAAGCGATCAAAAAAACGCATAAAATCTACTACCCCCCCTCCCTAAAGATTGTAGAACATCAATCAAAGAGTTCAAAAAGTACGAACAATTTAAAATTGGACCAATTTTTGAAATTCGTTGGAAAAAATGGGCGTTTCTCTATTGAACCTATTTTGTTTGTTTTTTTTTTGATCGACGCATAATTTTGTTTTCTTTAATTTTCTAAAGAAGTGTTATTCATAAAATAAGGACCGTTTTCGAGTTTTATGCGAAAAACTAAAAAAAAATGCCACAAATGTTGAGGTTTTTTGGCTGCCAAAAGTTGTGCCGGGAAAAAATTTGTGCGTACTCTTCAAATACATATTATTTGGACCCAAATGGGCCATTTAAAACAATAAAATCTTTTACATCACCTTTTGCAGGTCAAAATTATCTGGATACTGGACTAAGAGTAAGTCTTCGTGATTATTATCTATTTCGAGAAATGCGACCAAAAGCAAAAGATGCACATGCCCTTTGCTTTCCATAAAGTTGCGCCCAATAGATAACAAATGACCTCATAGGCATTTTTTCACTTATTAGCGGAACATAAACATAGGAAACGTCGTGGTATGTTATATAAAAGAAACGCTACCGATATAAATACAATTCCCCTTTTTAGTTAAATTCCTAAGCGGGATACGACAACTAATGGCCGACACTGACAATTTTATTTAAAACAAAGTGTCACTGTTTTGCTCATGTAAAGTCAAGTTAGTGAAAGTGGTGGATATAAAAAAATTCTTGCACTTTTAAAAAAATTCGACTATTTATCTTTCCGTTTGAGAATACCTTTTGATGGAGTCCCACAAACTTCACATCAACTTGGCGAATTTTTTTCAAATTTCCAATACTATGTAGCGACAGAAACCGGTATATTTTTTACTACCTACTTCTTTTTTCAATATGGACTGATATCAACTTTATCAACAGGAATATTTGTCCCTCAAAAAATAAGAGGATTAAGTAAATTTTATTTTTACCATTGAATTCAGGGCAAAAAAGTGAAGTCATCTTACCGCACAAAAGATGTTCGGAAAAATTCTCCATGGGTCGTACATAGATATAAATAAGTAATACGTTAAATGTACAATTGTTATTAATTTTTGAAAAGATAAGGATTTATTTAGAATCAGTAAGTATAAATGTTATATTTTTAATCATTGTAACAGAATTTTAAATGTTAGCTACCATTTTTATGAAAAACATACAATTTTTGTTGTTGTTCACCCTTGTATTGTAAAGATAATTTATTTTAGGTGCTCGAAGTGCCGGTTTTTTTAGGATCTACCATACCTAAGCGAATTCATTCATGCTCATGTACCTAATAATTATAAAAATCTATAAATCAGTAAAAATGATTAGAACAAATCACAAGAAATAAAGGGGTAATTAAAAAATGTTATAACAAACAATGCTAATCTAGTCCACTAATTACCTGCAAACCAGGTAATTTACAGAAGGTGTCAATATAGAAAAATACAGTAAATGCATTGAATAAGTAATTTATTCAACGGTAACAGAAATAGGTATTTGTGCATCTCCAGTCAAGTATTGTACAGCTTTTCGATAAACTTGTTTACATAATTGGTCCTTGATCAATGATCATTATACATGCGGTGTATTGTGTTTAACAATAAATGAAGAGAATATGCAAAACAGAAGGATAGATACATCGTTGGTTTCACTCAAGGAGATCATGTAGCAGCTACCAGTGTGTATTGTTGGTGGTCTAACCAAATGCAATAATACTGAAATACAAATTGACTACAGAGGAGCCTTGATTGAATGCAATATTGTATTCTTAGGTAGGTATGTGTTAACTGCCTCAAGGATGACAAATTCTGATCGTGCTCTTCGTTGGCGCAATCACACGCGCTGAGATATCATCGAAATAGTTTTTCTTTTGGAATAATTTGAGTCTAAAATTCTTTGGAAAAAAGTAACTCTATTTGTCACCGCAAATGGCACTTGATATCATAATTATATAGATTTCCATCTGCTTTAAACGTTGTAGGTACCTATCTTGTTTTTCATCTACCTTAACGATTTGGAAATCGGCAACTGGAAATACCGAAACGGTTCAACTAATTCCTCAATATTTGGTAGACGGTTTATAAATACGTAAATTTATTGTGAATGGTCGACAGCCATTTTCATTTTTAGTAATAAGAACCTATGCAGGCCAAAGAGATTTACAAATTTGAAAAAAATGCACAAATGTCCTTCGCATTTTTACGGAACGTCAACGTCACGTCACGGACCGGCAAAGTCACCTCAAACTATTGTATTAGCTATAGATTTCTTATGATAGCAATATAGCATTCACATATAGACGTAACGGAACGCACCGTCAATGTCAAGAACCGTCGAGATAAGTTTCATACGTTTCTTGGGCGTGACACTAATGCTAATTTTCTTCTATTTAATCTGATCATGATAAGAACAGATGGTCCAGAATAAAAAATCCAATCGCAACCATAATAAGAAACTATTGTCGTAAAGTGCGAATGGACAGCAAGATTTACGTGACATTGCCGGTCCGTGGACGTTGACGTTCCGTAAAATGCGAATCGACCTTTATCCGACTGTCCTGTCTGTCATAGCAACCCCTCAGGCGGTGGAAAAAGGAGTAGAGATGAAAAATTCAATTGCTAGTTACAGCAATTTTCGAAATATTGTCTTCGATTTCTTTTTAATTTATAGCAAAAAATTAATTAAAAAAAGTGTTACCTATCTAAACTGCTCGTTCCTATACATGATCTAGAGACCTCGTTATTTTTGCCCTCTTTTTATTAGAAAAATATTTAAAGCTTTGAAAAGAAAAATTACTTCCAATTGTCTAGTTTAAATACGAAAAATTGGGCTTATGCACAGTGCTGTAACTAGGCATTTTTCGAAGCGGTACCGGATCAGGTTTTGGCGCCTTATCACTTACCATTGAGCTCTAATTAATAAAACACCGTACATTTTTGAGAGAAACTTTACACGAAATTTTAAAAGCACTGCGCTACTTAAATTTTAGAAAAATGCTTTGAATAATGAAGTCTTTCACTCAACGAAGAATAGAAATACATTTATTTATATTGTTTCCAATTCTCGCGTCAAATTTAGCTATGACATAGGGTACAAGTCGTAGAAATGATTGCGTCTTAGAATAAGGGTGCAAATGCTGGTCACACTAATACAGACTATTATATAGATCACAAATAAAGTATTATTATTATTAGTTTAAATTTGCAGCATTTCCCTACCGCTGTAACTTTGTTCTACAAGGGCCATTCAGAAAGTAGCAGACGGTTTGGAATAAAAAGTTAAGAAAGTGTAAGAAACAACATTTATTATATACATTTGGAAGCTACACTCTTAGGCTATTTTTCAACATAGTCGCCATTCATATTGAGGCGCTTATCATAGTGTGGTACAAGTGTTTTGATTCAAACTTTGTATACCTCCGCCGTCTGTGGGAGCGTCAGAAGTGGGTACCGACAAAGGGAATGTGGTAGCCCCCTGACAAGATCTTATTGATTGTGGAGTCAAAATTGGCTAATAAAAGTACTGATTTGCCACACAAAAATGCGCTGAAATCCCATGGATGTTCCGTTCATTCTAAAGGACCGTAAATTTAGTTTTAATTATATTTCACTGCACCCTGTATTCGTCTTTAGCAAACAATTAGAATTTAACCGCCGTTCTTGTCTTTTATGACTGGCTTATACGGTACACCGCGATGCCCATCCCGACTTAGTGCCCTCGGTGCTTCAGCGCCTCCGGCGTGCCCTCCCCCATGCAGAGCGCGGTGCCGCGGCACCTTTGGCACCTACCTAGTTACGCCACTGCTTATGCATATCGTTTACGATTACACTCTTCACGCTATCAAAAACAACTTCTTGTTTTCCATAAATATAATAAAAATTAATTTTTGTGTTACATAACTAGATATAACTCTTATCGAATGACAAAATGAAGAATGGGGGCCATTACCTACGCACTATGATTAGGTATGACACATTATCATGACTACAGCACTTAATTGATTTCAGACAATATTAAAGCGGATGTGGACCAAACACTGTAACAGTATTAGTACGATGAATCACTTTGTAAAACAGAAATTCTAAGCCTATGACACTTTATTCTTCCTGTTCCTAACGAAATGTTGCCGAGATACCGATTAAACCATTATCAGTGTAGAAGTGTTTAAATATTCAGGGCAGTGCGTACCTACATCAAGTGCTACTTCATGCACCTACTACACACCTACACAATTTTTAATGCACACGCGGATGAACCCAGTCTCAATTAGATTTTATTTAATTGACTGGTAAGTACAGTTATATGACTTTTCAAACACATTGTAGTAGCGCTGTATTGTAAATTGAGTTGAATCCTTTATCAGAGATAGGTACGTAATGGAAAAGACCGCGATTACAACATCGAACAAACGTATTATGGCCAATAGTTAATAGATCACTAACTGATATAGGTAATGATATTGAATTTGATTTGCACTGCGGAATACGCGAATTACCTACTACTGCTACTAAATTGCGTGTATGTCCTGGGAGTTGCCCCAAGGAAGGAATTTCTTTCTTGACCAAAAACTTACCGCATATGAAATCCATTATACCTTTGTGAAATAGTTTACAAGTTTGTTCTGTATTTCGCATAGAACGCCTACGTGTTGCTAATGGATCGAAGGTATTGAAAATTGAACTCATCTTGCTATTACAATGTAATACTAATAAGTAAATATCATCTGGTTTAAGTTTAGGTTATTACTTATACTTTTGTTTTTGTCCTCCACATTCCCACAACTTTTGAAGAGATAATTTTTGGTTTATAAAGAAACTCGTTTTGTTTACGAATCTTCCAATAATCACTCCGGCATTGATGTTGGAACTGGTTTTGAACAGGCTTCAATTTGTTTATATAGCAAACTAAAAGTTTATAGAAACAAGTTGGAAAGTACTCTATGCGTCGAACTATTTAAGCGCGTTTTTGTGCGACGGTACGAGGATTTATTAGCAAACTCATTTTATGCTACAGTTTCATTATGAAGGAAACTTTTTGTGTTGAAATACAATCTGCATGCACATTTGTGACAAAGGTAAGGTTCAAACCCGAGCTTCTTACAATATTTCCTTCGGGAGTTATACTTAAAAAACCTATGCAGCCGACCGACCGACCGAACAGACTAAGTGAATATACGGGGTGTCAATTTTAAAAATTGCAGTCGGCCCTATTCCAAACTAAAGAAGATATTGAAAATCGCGCAAACCATTTCGGGGGTATCGAGGGGAAACCAGAATGACGTTATGAGTGACAACCCCCCACCGCCAACCCTCTCTCTTCAAAAATCTTAAATGGAAACCCCATATACTTGTGACACATCCTTGGAAAGCTACTGAAAAAATAATTATTTATGGCAAATTGGCCATGAACTTCAATCTGAGCTGCTTCATTAATCAATCTTGGTTTCTTTCTTTTTTTTATTGATAACAGATCCCGTTTCTTCGAATTTAGCGACCAAATCTTGAACATAGGTATGGCTTATATTTCTCCCGGCATGTCTCTCATTAAACGTTCTAGCTGTTCTAAAAGATGATCGATTTTCGGAGCCATAAATGAATATTATTTCACAACGTTTAGCAGTAAAAAAAGAAAGCAATGTTGTATGCAGGCCTTAGATGTAGACCTCGAATAAAAGTAAAAAGTGACGAGTCAAGAAAATATGTTGTGCGCGTGCGCAATCCGATTTCTTTATTGATACTTCAAATCAAATGTTTACCCTTGCGATTTTGACGGCGACGAATAACGAATTTTTTATCTAGCGAGAAAATTCGATGCTTCAACTGCACAGAATTCGGTAACATCGCAAATAAATGCACCAAGAGCCCAAACGATATCCCAATTATTTCAACCAATAAACGTCCCGCACCATCCACATCAGCAGCGACCACATCCGAAAGAACAATGGACCCTCCCATCAGATCCAGGCGTTCCAGTAGAGAAGAAAAAATGCCAACGAAAAAATGCAGAAGTACCAGACCATCAGAAGAGGACAACATACTTGAAAAATTAAAAATCTTATGGCCCAACGAAATTTTCGTGTTAGAATTCGAAGACTTTAAACACTTCTTACCTCGCTTCTTACTCAATGTAAAAAATAGCGATTCTCCTACAATTCTCAGGGAATACACGACTCTCGTACAAGGTGTTACTAGTATGCTGGCGGAAATAACCCCTCACATACCAACAAGGTCTTTAAAAGAAAGATGCAAAAGACTGGTCAAGAATCTGTTAAAGGTAACACAAAAAGAGCAGTTATCATCGGAATCCGAAGAAGAAATCCTACATTCATCAAATAGCACGTTCTTGTCCTCAGAAGAAAACGACGCAGGGTATATACAGGGTGACAATTTGAAAACTTACCACCCCCCATATCTTAGTAAATAAACAAGATATTTAAAAAAATCAAAATCCGTTTCGGTAATTTGGAGGGGGAATCACAATCACATAGTTGGCGACGCACCCCCTCACACCCCCTGCGCCCCAGCCACCCCAACTATTAAATCTTAAATAGTGACCCCCCGTGTGTGATACGTCGTTGGAAAGCTCTGAAAAAATGCTTTCCAACCATACCAAATACTACATTTAGTTAGTAATTATCGTGCAAATCAAAAAATAAACTTGTATACCTATATTTACCCACATCCACCACCGCTTTACAAGTACTTAAATGTTCAAGTAGGTACAAAAATAACAAAAATCAAGTACACTAACGAGGGAACCATAATAGGGGGTGACTTTAATTGCACTATGAATTCAAAAATAGATCGTGTGCATTCGGGTAGTCGGGATATCCAATTAACTAAAAAATATTATAAAAAGCAGTAACCTTTACGACGCATATATCGAGTACTAAATCCCAATTCACCAGGTACACCTTTTTTACAAAACAATCCGCATCAAGGATTGACATGTTTTTCTGCGATCATGTTTGGTTATAAACATGCTCCAAACCTATTGTCATTTTCTGACCATTTGGCCATGGAATTAAAATTTCGAGAAAGGCAAAAGTTTTCATCACCGGCGTTTTTACAACCCACTCTGAAAACAGTAATCTACTGTAAACACAAAAATCAAAATGGATCCTACGACCTAAAACGTTTACAACAACAATACAACACACGAAAGTACAACGCATCACCATCAAACCTATGTACAAATAAGATACCTATTTTAAACCAATCCGGGAAAATGTACACAACAATGGCAAAAAACACCCAAATAAGTGACCGTTATATCGAAATTGTAACTGACGATATTACTGAAAAATCTGACATCATTACAAATAATCAATGTCAAACTCTACAAAAAATCATAGTCAATGGAGTAGCAATATCAAACCCAATTGATATATGTCGAGAAATGCGTTCGTTTTTCAAACAAAAATACGATAATAATACTTCGTTAAACAAAGCGCCGTTTTTTTTTCGGGGATACAGCGATTATCAGACACAGAAAATGAAGAATTAAAACAAGTGATAACACGAGTGATAACACTAGAAGAACACACCAATACGTTGAAAAGTTTAAACAAAAAAAATCTCCCGGAATAGATGGTTTATCCGTCGAATATTATCTACAGTTTTGGGAAAAAAATATAGGGAAATATTATTACGAGGCAGTCTCAAGTAGCACAAATGGCGCACAACAAATTCCACGTCATTAAAACAGCAGTTACTACGCTAATATGTACCAAAAAAAGGTAAGAACCCCTTTGATCTAAAAAAATTGGAGACCTCTTACAACGGATTATAAAATCCTTGCAAAGACTATAGCCCAAAGATTGATGAAAGTAGTAGAAACAGTCGTGCAAACCGATCCTTCTTACAGTATTCCAGGACGATCTATATTTGACAGCCTCCACTTGCACAGAGACATCTTAAATTAGTCTGACACAGAAAAGAAACAACTGGCAATAATATCCTTAGAATTAGAAAACCTTTATTGTAAACCAAGTAACTCAGGGACATCCATATACACAAAAAGCCTAATAAAATCTTGGAACACAGTCCCTTTAATGTTAAAACATTTTCCGTCGTGTCAACACGATCTTAACTTATCTAATTATCTGTGCGAAAACAGCGAAAAATTTAATAAATAAATAAATAAAAAATATGGTACAAGTGTGGACTAAATAACATCGGAGACGGTACCACAGGAACCAAATGGAAGGTGATGGAGGAATTGTTAAAAAGGTACGTTACACCTACAGTAAAGTAGAACATGTTCTCAATGTATGAAGATAAAGAATTAGTTGGAATAACTTTCCCTGATGTTGTAGGCGTAGTCGGTGCAGAAAAATGGTCCCCAGAAATATATTTCGAGAGGGAAAAAAGATAACTCTCAATTCCAAGACGAGAAGACTGTTGTACGAAATGCAATTGAATGAAGTATCTGGGAAAACCGAAAAACTTAAAGGGAACTGGGACGAAAAGGAAATATGTTGGAGTGAAATGTTTAAAAATCCACCACTCGGAATCGATGCTGTCACCTCATGGCGATTCGCAAAAAACAGACTGGCCGACATGATTTTTCTTAACAAAATTGGTGTAGGACTACGGATAAAACTCTTTATGTACGACTGCTTGATAATGCGGTGATTACAGTCGCAATTAGTGGCCTAGTCCGTAATGATAAAGTAAAACGGCCGCCTGTCAATGTGACAGTCGTACTTAGGTGCCCAGAACAAAAAACTTAGAAGGGAAACGTAAACGGGAACAACTGAGTACAAATATAATTAGTTTGGAGAACATTCAATAGATGGCGCATAGTTAGCGTGCGTGTTAAAGTTACTAAATCTAGTGACTTTCGTGCGTGTTCGCCATTATGACAGTTGAATTTTGAATTTTGATTGACGGCTTATTGTGCTTTAAGTATAATTACTATTCATTATTACAATGAATTATGCATATACAAGTCGAGAACGTAAATGTTGTGTGACAAATTGTGAAGACGTTTCCCAAAAATGGAGCCCGAAGTTTTTAAGAATTGGTTTAGAATATAATGTGGAAGAAATTTACACAAAAGTTTTTGGTTTGTGAACGTCATTTTTCTGGCTGCGCTTTAGAACCTGGAACACGATGAGATTTAAAGCGTGTTGCAGTTCGCACATTATATTTAGCAGGTAACATTAATTGAATTGTAATAAATTGCTACATATTTTGTTTTTAGAACGATCTCGAGAGCATCATACAGTAGAGTTCCATGAAGTTGATCTTGTATTTTGTATAATCATATTAAATTAAATATAAC